TCGCAACCTGCATCCTCCTCGCCCTCCGCGGCCCCGAGGGCGACACGGGCGCATTAGACCTCATGCGCATGCTCAGCTACGTCCTCGTCGAGATCCTAATCGCCGTGTTCGTCGTCCGCCCAGCGTTCCGCTGGGTCAACCGTCGAAACCCCGAAGGGCAGCCGATGAATAAGCTACAAGTCGTGGTCACGATCGCGCTGACGCAAGTCCTATGCCACGCGAGCAGTTTCTTCGGCTACGACCGGAAAGCGAACGCGTTCTTGATCGGGTTGCTGCTGCCGAGTGAGGGAAGGGTGTCGAGTTTCATAATAAGCAAGTTCAATTACATCCAGATGACTTTCGTCCTGCCGTTGTACTTCCCGATGGCGAACCTCCGGTTCAGTGGGAGGAAGTGGGACGAGGTGGCGGAGGTGCACGGGGTGCGGAGGTACGGGAAGGGGACGGCGTGGGTGAACCTTGTTTATGCCGTTTTGGTGTCCGCGGTCGGGAAGATGTCCGGGACGCTTGCTGCGGCCAAGTATTTCGGGCTGCATTGGTTGGAGGCGGTTACTCTCGGTGTGCTCCTCAATACCAAGGGATACTTCCACTTTTTCTTGGCGTTCCATTGTCAAAAGGTGAGTTTCCATAATTAAAGCACATGCTTTGTTGCACCTGCATACCTTCACTTCACATGTTTTTTTTGGCGGTCGAAGTTTTTAAAATTTGCACTTTACTATCTTCTGTTATGCAAAAGGGCTTTTTCTGGGAAGATTACAGTGAGGTAATGCACGCATACGCTGATTTTAGAGCATTTTAATATATTGTTAGTTTTTGTTAACTTTACTGTTAGGCATCTCTCTAAATTCTATTTTTAACGTAGAATTTTGATCAGTTTAAAGTAGAATTAAGATAGATCTAATAGTAAATTTAACAAAATTAAGTGCTAAATAAAAAGTTATCATGGGTGTGGCATGCATGGAAATTTTTCGGAGGGAAATTCTCATTTTTGCGTAACAGAACTTAAAATAAAATTCGCGATATGTGAGTGATCAAGTGTTAGTAAGTGAAGTATGTAAGTGGTACGTAATTAGTCTAAAACTAGCTGATCTTCTTCCACAATGTCAAGAAGCTCAATTTCGCACTAATTGTGCGTTGTTGCAGAACTATTTCATGGAGGAAAACTCAGGGCAAGTAATGATGGTCGCAGGAATGATGACCATCGTATGCGCTCCGCCTATAATCTCCCTCATCATCAGAAATGTCCGATCGAAAGGAGCGGCTATCCCTCGACTGATCATGGGCATGCAATGGTACAACCCAGCCACCGCGCTGCGCGTGATCGTCGGCCTCTGGGGCCCCCAAAATGTGCCGTCCGCAGCCAACATCATCGAAATGCTGCGGGGAGGCGCAACGACAGGACTCTTCGTCAACGCC